ACAATCTCTCAAAATTAGATAATAGTAAAGAATATGAGAGTGGAATTCTCCCTGATCCAGATCCATGAAGTCCCATGTAATTTCTCATTCATTTGATGACTTGCAATACTTTACCCTGCCCTTAGAAATACTTAAATTGGTTGTATCAAAAAAAAATATGCTCGATATTGTTCAAATATCTTCATCTTTATCATAATTTTGTTTGTAGATACTGTTAACATATGATTCTTTCTTACAAGTCTCTCTGCCACAGAGAACATGGTTATAAAATGCAAAGGGAATTAAGTAGGAAAAGGTTAAGCTCAAACATCTTTTTAGATGAACTCTATTGGTTATCAAGACTTTCCAAACCAATGTTAGCCTCTTAGATAATGAATTTTGCAAAAATGGAAAACAAATTTCTTTGAACTTCACTACAAGGTTATGATGAACATGAACAATTAGAACATGAAAGTGAGTTCTGTTTCTAAGTATAAAAAAATAAAATAATAATCACCCATAATTCCACCATTCAAAAACCCCCACTCAGCATTTCAGTACATTTATTTCCAGTGCTTTTTCTCCCCTACTTTTTAAAACATAGTAAATAGCCTACCTTTTAAAACACAAGGTTTACTTGAACCATTTATTCAAGAAGTTTGTCCCATTATCTTGGAGGAAAATTCCTATTGTCTCCCTATCCTCCTATAATGTATTCATCTCTTCTAAGGCAATTCAAGTTTGTTGGGGTCCAGCCCCAGCAGGTCCAGGGGTTCACCAAAGGTGTAGACGGAGTCGACGAAGAAGGAATGACACGGAGACAGCATTCAGATGATCAGCATAGCTAGGTTCTCTTGCCTGGTTCTAGCCAGGTTCTAGCCAGGTTCTGTGTTTCATTGTCTTGTTACATCTGTATTTATACCAGTTGATTTTAATCCTATCAAATTCTATCCCAAAGGTTAGGGCGTTTTTTATCTCCATTCCAGGGAGTAAAGATTATGTAGCTTAAGCATGATTATTCATAGTTAAAGTGATTAACTACCCACCTGGCACTTAGTTAAGGGGTTTTATTCCCTCCCTAACTCCGGGGAAAAATCCCTACCTGGGGAAACAACCTTTCTCGGAGAGGTGACCTTGGTTAAAACACATAGAGCCAAGAAGGGGAGCAAACATATTAAGAACAGTATGCCATATATGCCAGGTCCCTTGAAACATATGCTGTGCAGATGTTTCTTCCCTGCAGCAACTGTGTCAAGCAGCAAGGATGGACGGGCTTCCGGCACAAGTTATTGACAGAAAAATCAAATTATTTTAGCTATTCTGCTGTTTCTTTACCTATTTGGAAGATAAATTCTTCAGTTAAAATTAAAGATTGACTAAGCCCTAGATTATTAGCATGCATCCCTCCTGTCCAAAGGTGATTTAGCTATTCTTACTTAGTTGGTAGTTCTTACAGGTGGGGTTTAAAGGTACATGCAATGAAAGGGTCAAGTTTAAGACTTCTCTAACCCTCTGCTCTCCATCTCTGTTAATTGCCTTCCTGGGGTTAGAGATTTGTTTAATGATCAATAGAGGTTTCTATTGCTACCACTGAGCCTTTCATAAAGTAGCATAACCAAGTCAATGTTTAACTGAATTCTTTGGGTCTGAAATGACAAAGTGGGAGTTGGAGGGAAGTCTCCATGGAAACCAACCTCCCAGGAAGTGGCCAGAAGGGTTAGTGTGTAGTGAAGTAGACCTACAAAGATGTCAGGAAGGAAACATCTGCTTTGGAAAGCAGGGCTAAACGTCTGAAATACCTTGATTAAAACGACCTACGTTAAAGGCCCCTCGCCACTTCCCTCATGGTTTTCCTTTGACTGTCTTTAAGGTAAAATGGGCCTGAGCCACTCTAAGGCTCACCCTAGAGTGATCAAAGTGGCACCTTTGCAAAACAAAGAGA